AAAAAAAAAACAGCCAGGCGCTGTGCTCCTTCCTGTAATCCAGCATTTTGGCGAGGCCAAGGCAGGTGCGGATCACGAGGGTCAGGGATCGACGACCATCCTGTGCGAACAATGGTGAAACTCGTCTCTACTTCAAAAAATCAAAAGAATTAGCGGGCGTTCGTGGTGGCAGGCGCTGTAGTCCAGCTACTTGCGGAGGCTGAGGCAGGAGAATGGCGTGAACCCAGGAGGTGGAGCTTTTAGTGAGCCGAGATCACGCCACTGCACTCCAGCCTGAGCCACAGAGCGAGACTCCATCTCAAAAAAAAAAAAAAAAAAAAAAAAGATTTATCCCTGAGATTTCCGTAAGTGAAATTAGACAGCATGTGCTTTCTGTGTCTAGCTTCTTTCGCCCATTGCTATGTCTGGCTTCTTTCGCCCATTGCTATGTTTGTGCAAGTCACGCATGCTGTTGTATGCTGTTTTAGCTCATTCATGTTCGTTGCTGCATAGTATTCCCTGATATTTCATGGTACAAATAGACCAAATCAGTGTATTCATTTGTGTGTGTTGCTCAGAGTTAGGGCTGACATCATTCATGCTGCTGTGAATATTCCTGCATATGTCTCTTGGTGGACAAATGTACTCACATCTGTTGAGTCCTGGGAGTAAGACCTGAAGTCATGGGCTGTGCGTGGTCAGCTTTCATAGATGTTGCCAGTTCCACAAAGTCCTGCAAGTAAAGACCCTCTAGTTGTATCAGAGAGTTCCAATTGTTCTACATTCTTGCCTTCCATTAATTTTTTTAACTGTTTTATTGAAATACAATTCACATACCATACAATTCATCCATTTAAAGTTGACAGGCCAACAGCAGTTAGTGGATTCATGGGGCTGTGCAGCCATCATCACCACAGTCAGCTCTGGAATATTTTCATCACTCCTGAACTGCTACCTGTCAACCCCCAATCCTTCCATCCCTCAGCACTGTGTCTACGATTTGGGCATTTCATACACATTGAATCATACGATATTTGTCTTTGGTTTGGCTTCTTTTACCCAGCATGATGTTTTCAAGGTTCATCCACACTGTAGCACGTGTAAGGATCCATTCCTTTTCGTGGCTGAGTAATATTCCATCACATGCATAGATCATGTTTTGTTTAACCATTTGTCATTTGATCGGCATTTGGGTTACTTCCACCTTTTGGCTGTAGTGAACGTGGCTTCTGTGAACATTCACGTGCAAGCTTTTAGACGGACAGATGTCTTCCATTTCCCTGGGTAGATATCCGGCGCGGCGGGGGGCACAAAATGTGATAACTCTAGGTTAAACTGTTTGAGGAACTGCCAGACGGCTTTCCATGGCAGTTGCGCTGTTTTACATCCTCACCAGAGCTGTCTCTGTGCCGAGAAAACACGCCGCTCCTCCACACAGTGCTGAGCACAGGCAAACTCGCCGGACTTGGCATCTTTTTGTTGGGGTCAGGAGGGGACGAGGTAGTGTCTGCTTCGATGATGGGGTCAGCATCTTGGCAGTGCCCAAGGGGCAGGAGGGGACGAGTTAGTGTCTGCTTCGATGATGGGGTCGGCACCTGGGCAGTGTCCAGTGTCTGCTTTGATGACGGGGTCAGCATCTGGGCAGTGTCCAGGACACTCTTGCTGGTCTGGCACAAATACTGTGGCCATGGCAGCGTCTCAAGGTGGCATCCTGCCCAGAGTCCCCAGCAGGACCTGCTGCCCACAGCCTTGGGCCCCTCACTGTGAACTGTCACGTTCCCTGGTTGGCAGGAGTCTCCGGGGAAGAACAATTGGTGTGAACTCCCTGTTCAGGGTGGGGGCTGGGCGCAGAGAAGTCTCATCATTTCTAGGGAATTTCACAGAGGCTGCCCAATGGGCTGTTCCAAACCCATGTGTGCCCAAAGCCCACTCCAGTCAGTTGGAGAAGGGGGCCCTCAGACAGCCCTTGGTCCCTAGTTCCTTGTAATCCAGAGAGTTCCCTTTGGAATGGAGAAATTCCCCAGAACAAGAGGAGGGGTGACCTTGGGCAAGTCCCTCCCCATCCTGGGTCTCTGCATGCCCATCAGTGGGGTGCAGGGTACACCTAGCGATGCCCAGGGCTCTCCCTGCCCTGGGCTCTCTGGGGAAGCTGGGATGAACTGCAAAGCAGCCAGCTCTTTTTGGGTAAAAATCCTCCAGGCTCATTTGCTGGGTGGTGGCTGTCCCTGAGGCCGTGTGAGTCTCTATTCCAGAGCCGAAGAACGCCTGGCCGTGAAGGCCAGCCACCTGGCCGGAGACTGCCCCGTGCCCACAGAGCCCTTGGGCCTCCCAGTGGTGAGGAGGGAGAAGGAACAGCTGCTGGAAAATGCCAGGCGTCTTCATTGTGATCGGCATGAGGGTTCGCTCCAAGCATGGAGGCTGGTTCCCCTTCCCTCCTTTATTTGCTCAGCTTTGAGCTCATGGACTGACACTTACCAGGAGTTTAACAAATATTTATCGAATGAATGGATTCATTCATTTGCTTATTCAATCAAGAAGACTGAAATCTTACAGTCAGAAGCTGCAGCCACAGAGGCAGCCCAAAGCTTGTTTATTAAATGCCGGCTCTGGTGGCCGTGTCCTGCCAGCACGGTCTGGGGTGGCCTCCACGGCGCCCTTGGGAGGGGGGTGACAATATGGCACAAGGTGCTCACAGCTCCTGACATGGCCTCACCTGGAGGCTGGGGAGGTGGGGAGGGAAAGGTGAGCACCATCATTACATGAGGGGGACTCCTGCCCAGCGACAGAGGCAAGGCTGTTGGGAACAGTGCTGGGTGCGGGGGTCGCCTTTCCCTTGCCTGAATGCCATTCACACCCGTGTTCATTTTTCTTCTGAGTCACATTCTCGAGCCTGGACGAGGCCATCTATTACTGGAGTTTTAAGCTGCTTTGTGAACCACAGGACAGCTGGCTGCTTGGTGAGGCCTGTTCCGCCCTGGGGGCCTCATGGTGTGGAGAGAGCAGGATTTTAAAAATCTAACCAGAGGTGATGAGCACAGCAGCCCCAGCAGAGGGAAGATGAATGAGGCAGGGGCCAGGGGACGTCCTGGGAAACCCAGATCCAGGTCATTTTTTGGCTGAGACCCACCGTGGGGCTGTGCTGGGCCAGGAAAGACCTATGACTGCTCAAGGCCATTCTAATGCCCTCAGTTCTTTTCTTTTTTGGGAATGGAGTCTCACTCCGTCACCCAGGCTGGAGTGCAGTGGCATGATCTCGGCTCCCTGCGGCCTCCGCCTTCCGGGTTCAAGCGATTCTCCTGCCTCAGCCTCTCGAGTAGCTGGGATTACAGGCGCCTGCCATCATGCAGGAGGCTACACCTGTGCCTTACTTACAGGCTGTGCACTGTCCATGAGCCCTGGTGGGGTTGTGATTATTGCTGGTAGGAGGCTGGGGGCGAGGCCAGAAGCCTGGAGGCCGTGTGAGGATCACGCCTCGTGAGTCAGGTAGGAGGCTGCTGGAGAGACAGATGACAGGGAGCAAGTTGCACAATATAGAACTGAAGGCATTGGCTGGGCGCGGTGACTCACGCCTGTAATCCCAACACTTTGGGAAGCTGAGGCAGGCGGATCACTTGAGGTTAGGAGTTCAAAACCTGACTGGCCAACATGGTGAAACCCCCGTCTCTACCAAAAATACAGTGGCCCCCGGCATGGCTCTGCTGCCTGGGCTGGGGTCTGCCCAGTGCTTCTGGTTCCCACCCACACTCCCCTCCCCAGGAAGATGCCCCTGAGAAGTTGGCCCACCTGGTTCTCTGCAGTCTCTGGGGTACCTGCCCCCTGACCTTCAGCCAGGTCCTGCCTCTCGTATGTCCACTCAGGTGAGAAACCTGTCTATAACCATGTTTGTCTAGGACCAAACTTCGTCGTACACACAAATGTGCACTGCACAATTTTACTCCACCCTTTACCAGGAATGCAAGGATTTTGCCGATGGAGGGGAGACTGCATTGTGTTCAGAACAGAGGTTTTCACACTTTGGAAAACCACATCCCCAGTGGCCAAGTGGTGTCAGGTAGGTGAGTGCTCCAGGCGCCGCCCTGGGGCTGGGTGCCGCTGTTTGCTGTCATGCCACTGTGGGCCACCGTGGCAAGCAGATGACAGCCCTGTTCTCTTCCCCAGGGTGGCATGGAAAACCCATTATTTTATATTTATGTTTATTCATTTCTGATCAGCTGCATATTTCAATTGGGGCATTATTGAAAAAGGTGTTTTGTAGGTTTTCATGCATTTCGTTTCAGGATAGCAATCGACATATAAAATTATGTGCTGTAAAGAAGGAGGTTGATCTGTCGGGTTGAACACTACCAGCAGGGCAGATGCACCCTTGGGGCTGGTTGAATGCTTTAAAAAAATTTTTTTTAGCTCAGCCACTGCTTTTTTTTTTTAAAGCTTTATTGAGGTATAATTAATATATTGAAATCTGGCCAGATACAGTGACTCATGCCTGTAATCCCAGCACTTTGAGAGGCCAAGGTGGGTGGATCATTTGAGATCAAGAGTTTGAAAACAGCCTGACCAACATGGCAAAACCCCATCTCTTCAAAAAATACAAAAATTAGCCGGGTGTGATGGCACACACCTGTGATCCCAGCTACTTGGGAAGTTGAGGTATGAGAATCGCTTGAACCTGGGAAGTGGAGGTTGCAGTGAGCCAAGATCATGCTACTGTACTCCAGCCTGGGCAACAGAGCAAGACCCTGTCTTAGAAAAAAAAAAAACTGCACATATTTAATGCATAATTTGGTAAGTTTGGACATAGGCAAACAGTCATGATACCAACACCATGATCAGGGAAATCAACACATGCAGCACTTCCAGAACACTCCCCATGTCCCCATTATTTGTGGTAAGAACCACATTATTTGTGGTAAGAACACAGTACGAGATCTGTCCTCAAAGTCTTTTTTTTTTTTTTTTTTTTTTGAGATGGAGTCTCGCTCTGTTGCCCAGGCTGGAGTGCAGTGGTGCGATCTCAGCTCACTGCAACCTCTGCCTCCAGGGTTCAAGTGATTCTCCTGCCTCAACCTCCTGAGTAGCTGGGATTACAGGTGCCCGCCACCAAGTCTGGCTGATTTTTGTATTTTTAGTAGAGACAGGGATTCACCATGTTGGCCAGGCTGGTCTGGAACTCCTGACCTCAGGTGATCCATCTGCCTCAGCCTCCCAAAGTGCTGGGATTACAGGTATGAGCCACCACGCCTGGGCTATTTTTTATTTTTATTTTATTTTGAGACAGTGTCTCACTCTGTCACGCAGGCTGGAGTACAGTGGTACATTCATAGCTCACTGCAGCCTCAAACTCCCAGGCTCAGGTGATCCTCCCACCTCAGTCTCCCAAGTAGCTGGGACCACAGGTGCATGCCTCTACACTGGGCTAATTTTTAATCTTTTTGCAGAGATGGGGTCTCACTACTGCCTTGAACTCCTGGCCTCAAGCGACCCTCCCGCCTCTGCGTGAGCCACCTCACCCAGCTCCCAGTGATGTTTTTATGTGATTTCTTAAAATTAGGATCCAAATATTATCCACGCCATGCATCTTGTGGTTCTGTTGCTTTTCCCTCCCTGGCCCCTTCCCCGCTTCCCCAGCCTACCCCACCCTAAGACAGCAGGGACACCCACTTTCCCTGTGCAAAGCGGCCTTCCCATCTCCCATCTGTGCATCCAACCAAGATTCGAGGAGCACCCACCTCGTGCTAAGGACTGGGGCACATTCCTGAAGATGACTCTGGTCTCTGCCCTGTGGACAGCAGAGTCTAGAGGAGGAGAGAGCAGAGACAAGCGTTAGAAAAAGAGTGGCTGATCACTCCAGACTCTGCTGAGAGGTGAGGTGCCTCCCCCTGCCTGCTCCCTCCTCCCTGCACTGATCCCTTCCTCCTGCCCCCAGCGGGCCGCCTGGTTAATTACCACTGCCTCCCAGCTTCTCCAGCTCCCACACCTCCGACTCCCCAGCCTAAGGCTCCTTGGTCCCCTTCCTGAGTGATATTTACAAGCCAGCCACGCTGGGCTCCAGAAAGAGGAGGACTGTGGCAATTTCCTTTTTATGAACGAGGCTCAGAGAAGTCGATAACATACCCAGAGTCACCCAGAAATGAACCCTTGGAGGCAGGATTCAAACCCAACAGGGCCTCAGGGTCACGCTGTTTTTTCCCCTAGGGTTGAGAGAGCGGGATCCGGGTGGACACTGGAATTCCTCCGAGCTTAGATGAGCTGTATCAGGGTTCGGCAAACCACGTCCCTTGGGCCAAATCCCACGGCAGCCTGCTTTTGTGAATAAAGTTTTATTGGAACACAGCCACACCTGTGCATTGATATATTACTTATGGCCGTTCTGTTTCTCCAATGGCAGAGCCCAGGGGTTGCAACGGAGACCATTTGTGCAAAAGCCAAAAATCTTCACTATCCAGCCCTTTACAGGAAAAGTTGGCCAAACCTTATGCTATATGTTTAGCAGGATAAAGAGAGAAAGAAACCTGTAGGAGCCTCTCTTCCCTAAAACCTAAATTATTTACAATTTAAATTTAAAGCCACTTTCATTCAGTGGCCTATTCTTGAACTGGCTCTGAAAAGGATTCCTTGTTCTGGAAGGCAGACGGTGTGAGACTGTAGAGGTGAGAGTGAAAATCTTGAGGCCCATGTCTGAATTCTAAGGATATGCTTCCCAATCTGTGTGCATTCCCTGCATGAACTATTCAATTTAAAATTTTAAAAAGAGGAAGAAAATAGCCATCTCCATGGTTTTTCCTTCTCATTGCTCCAATTCCATAACAACAAGCCCTCCAGCAAGCCTCAATTTATTCAAATTCCCAAGCTGGGTTTGGAGGGGCGGGAGACAGAAATCCTGTCCCCCAGATCGGATCATGCTGTCACCAGAATGGGCTTGGTATTTTTTTCCAGCAAGTGTCTTGGTTTGTGTGAGGACAGATGATGGTGTCACGCCCACGCTGGGTATGACAGGGGAGAGGAGTCCACAGGGGGAGCCGGGGGACTGGCCGCTTCCTCAAAGCCTGGACCCATAGGAGGCGTTCCCTGGCGTCCACCAGCCTCTCCGAGCAACCGCCTGCCCGCAGCCGGCAGGAATCGTCCTGGCCTGTAAGTGCATGAGTTTCCCTGGGCTGCCATAACAAACACCACAGCCAGGGACTTAAGCTACAAGAATCATTCTCTCCCTCTGGAGGCCAGAAGGCTGCGATCAAGGCGTGGGCAAGGCTGGTTCCTTCCCAGGGCAGTGAGGGGGCACCTGGTCCAGGCTGCGCTCCTCGGCTTGTAGCTGGCAACTTCTCTCTGTGTTTCTTTACCTCGTCTTCTCTCAGGGCCTGTCTGTGTCCAAATTTCCCCCTTTTATAAAGACCCTGGTCATATCGGATTACAGCCCACCCTAATGACCTCATTTTACTTTGATCACCTCCCTGTCACCAAATAAAGTCACATTCAGAAGTACAGGGGGTTATGACCAAATAAAGTCACATTCAGAGGTACAGGGGTTATGACTTGGGGGAGTTCGTATGATAGCTTCCCCCATGTCAGGGAGTGGACAGCGGGCTGGTTGGGTGGATGACGGAGCTGGGTACAGAAAGCTTTGGTGGGGGTGACCCAGATGGCAGGTGCAAGCAAGTGTGGGCAATAGTGGCCCCCACCCTCATGACCACAGGACCCCAACTCTTTTTTTTTTTTTTTTTTTGAGACAGAGTCTTGCTCTGTCGCCCAGGCTGGAGTGCAGTGGTGCGATCTTGGCTCACTGCAACCTCCACCTCCCGACTCTCCTGCCTCAGCCTCCTGAGTTAGCTAGGATTACAGGCATGCGCCCCACTCCGGCTATTTTTGTATTTTTAGTCCAGGCTGGTTTTGAACTCCTAACCTCAAGTGATCCGCCTGCCTCGGCATCCCAAAGTGCTGGGATTATAGGCGTGAGCCACCGCGCCCAACCTCTTTCTCTAATCCCAGTCTTCTGGACTTGGAGTCACCGTGGGCATCTATGGGGCAGGCAGCCTGTGGGGGTGAACACAGTGATTCATGCTGTCTGCCCCAATATGCCAACAGCGCCCTGGGAGGAATGCCTGGTGTTGCAGTTGAACACCTGCAAGGCAGCCACTAGCATCTCATATTCCCTGGGTAACAGCAGGTACCCTCTCCCACTCATCCACTGGTGGGGGGGTCTCGTGGCCTCCTAGCTGAATGAGGGGCTTACCCCTCCCACCCCTCTGTGAGGCACAGACTGCACCTGAAGGAGCCTGTCCTCCACACCCTGGCACCAGCTACCCCTCCTCAGCTTTTAAAATACTTTAAAAAGCAGTTATCAAGAAATAATACTGATCAGGCCAGGCACAGTGGCCCATACCTGTAATCCCAGCACTTTGGGAGGCCAAGGTGGGAGGATCACTTGAACCCAGGAGTGTGAGGCCAGTCTGGGCAACATGGAGAGACCCCATCTGTAAAAAATAAAAAATAAAAAAAAATTAGCTGGCATTATAAATTTAAAAATTTACTCCCAGCTACTCAGGAGGCTGAGGCAGGAGGATGGCTCGAGCCCAGGTGGTTTCATTGAGCTGTGATTGTGCCACTCACTCCAGCCTGGGCAACAGTAAGACCTTGTCTCAAAAATAGGTCAGGCACAGTGGCTCATGCCTGTAATCCCAGCACTTTGGGAAGCTAAGACAGGTGGTGGATCAGTTGAGGTCAGGAGTTTGAGACCAGCCTGACCAACATGGTGAAATCATGTCTCTACCAAAAATATTTTTTAAATTAGCCAGGCATGGTGGCACGCGCCTGGAATCCCAGCTTCTCAGGAGGCTGAGGCAGGAGAATTGCTTGAACCCGGGAGGCGGGGTCTGCAGTGAGCCAAGATCATGCCACTGCACTCCAGCCTGGGTGATGGAGTGAGACTCCGTCTCAGAAAAATAAATAAGTACATGAATAACACTAATCAGAATTTCTTGTGTTCCATATTTCACAGACGCTTTCACACAGAGCCCTCATGAGGAAGCCCCTGCAGGGAGAACGCTCAGAGATGGAAAGTCACTGCCCAAGGCCACACAGCTGAGACCTAAACCCTGAATATCTCCAGGGCTGTCCCGTTGATATCTTCCAACAGCACGTGCACAGAGACAGCCATCAGCGGGGACGCTGCCTGGATGGAGGACACCTAGTTTGGCATTCGCTTCAGAACAATCTGGGGGAGGTAGAATGCGGGTATGGAGGAGAGAGATGGCTCCCAGGTGGAAGCTGGTGATAGGCCCCAGGTGGGCACCCCAGGTGGCACCCTAGGTGAGCACACAGGGTTGATTACACTCTGCCTTCTTAGATAGATGCATGTTTGTCATTTTCATAGTAAATGGTTTTTTTTCAATGATCTTGAGTAAGCATATGAGATAGCATTAAATATAAGGCAAAGCTTCCCTCCACTCCCAGAACAGATCCCTTTCAACAAGGGGTGTGGTGGATGTGGTGGAGCTAACACAAGACTGGCTATGCAGGAGAATTGCTTAAACCCAGGAGGCGGTGGTTGCAGTGAGCTGAGATAGTGCCATTGCACCCCAACCTGGGCAACAAGAGGGGAACTTCGTCTCAAAAAAAAAAGGACTGGCCATGTATTGATCATTATGGAAGGTCAGTGGCAGGTACGTGGGTGGTTTTTTTTGTTTTTTTTTTGTTTTTGTGGGGGAGGGGGAGAAGGAGTTTTGCTCTGTTGCCCAGGCTGGAGTACAATGGCACGATCTCAGCTCACTGCAACCTCCACCTCCCATGTTCAAGTGATTCTCCTGCATCAGCCTCCCGAGTTGCTGGGATTACAGGTGTGCACCACCATGCTGGGCTAATTTTTGTATTTTTAGTAGAGACAGGGTTTCACCATCTTGGCCAGGCTGATCTCGAATTCCCAACCTCAGGTGATCTGCCCACCTCGGCCTCCCAAAGTGCTGGGATGACAGGCGTGAACCACTGCCCTGGCCATGGGTGTTTATTATACTATTGACGCTACCCTTTTATGGGCTTGCAAATCTCCAAAATAAAAAAGAAATAATCATAAAAACAAACTATATCAGTTTAAAAAGAAAGTCATCTCATAGTTGAGTCTTTACAGGTTAGTCTTTTAATGATTTCACTTTGCACAACCAAGTATTGTTTGGGGAAGACACCTTGTTCTGAAACAACCTCAAATGAGGCTCTACTAAGAAATTCTGAGGAGAAACTGAGGGAAGCAATAACAAAGGAGGCAAAACCAAAAACAACAACAACAAAAACACCCTACAAATTCAGCAGCTCTTCCTGGGTGAGGAGCTCCCAGTGTAGATGTTGACATGAATAAGCCTTTTAAACATGTCTTTAAAAAGAAACACTGGGCCAGGCACGGTGGCTCACCTCTGTAATCCCAGCACTTTGGGAGGTTGAGGCAGGAGGATCACTTGATCCTTGGTGTTTGAGACCAGCCTGAGCAACATAGCAAGACCTTCTCTCTACAAAAAATAAAATAAAAATAAATTAGCTGGGCATGGTGGTGGGCGGCAGTAGTCCTAGCTACTCAGGAGACTGAGGCGAGATAATTGCTTGAGCCCAGGAGGTCGAGGCTACAGGGAACCATGATTGCACCACTGCCTCCAGCCTGGGTGACAGATTGCACCACTGCCTCCAGCCTGGGTGACAGAG